TCATCACGCGTCTCAACCAATGAGAGCATTTGGGGAGGGCCTAAGACTACAGGAGCGCTCACATGGACACGCGTTTCTGATAAAATTATTTAGGCTAAGCATCAACATTCACAAATCACTGTTCACTATTATTTTTAACAGAAAAGAATGCAACGAGCTCGTAATCACGACTTCATAATTGGGAAATAGGAAGTTCCTGATAGCACATGAAGACAGCAGAGAAGCGCTCTCGCTCAGCACAGTGGAGTGCATCGTTTTGTTAACTTTGTGGTTTATTATTTTGAGTCGTTTGGGACGCGGTAACACATGGCCCTCTCACAATATATTGCTTTACAGATCTATCGCTTTTGACGCTCAGAAATGTTCACGCAGTCATGTTGCACACGTATCCGAAGATCTGCGCTCCGGCGCGGTTAGCACTCCGCTCACACTACATGCGTACCCCACCCGAGCCCAACTGAACCGCGCTCTGCCCCACCTCTTCCAACCGAGCCAGGGACGGCTAAACGAACGCACGGAGCGCTCGGGCACGGTTAAGATTGCCTAGTGTGAGTACACCCTAATTATTCTCCCGCATCCCACACACACGAGTCTCTACCCGCCCGCACCCGCACTCGCCCACGCCCATCAAGTGTTGTCCCGCGCCGCTCTCTGTTGTGTTGGGTCCCACGATCCTGCAGGTCTCTACTCGGAAGGTGCCTGTTATAATGTTATGATCGAGGCTCTGGACTCTGAGCATAACTTGTTTTTCTATAACAAACTATAAAATATTTTCTATAAAAACGTTAATGCCCTGGCAGTGGCAAATAGCTTGTTTTATATTTAATGTGATTACATTAATGCTATAAGTTGAAATTTACATGCAATATAATTAATCGAGATTAATCGCAGACAATCATGCGATTCATTTTTCTATTAAAAAATGTAATCGTTGCCCAGCACTGTGTGTGTGTGTGTGTATATGTATGTGTATGTATATATATATATATATATGTATGTATGTATGCATGTGTGTTTGTGTGTATATATACATTTATTTATATATATATATATATATATAAACATTTTTAATAAATAGATTTTCATTATTCATATATATATAATATTGGATTAAAATGAGTAATTTACCTTGGTGGTAGTAATAATTATAATTTGTTAAAAATATCAGTTGATATTCTACACAACAATAATAATAATAATAATTATTATTATTATTAGTGTATACATGTAAACTAAATATTTGTATATTTTTTACCAATTTAATCTTATTATTATTAATATTGTGTACTATTTACATTTTCTACACTGCATTGTTTTACACATTTTGCACATTATACGCTGCATTATTTTCACACAACAAATATTTAAATTGTATATTTCATCCTAGTTTTAGTTTTTTAGATACATGTTCATATATGTATATATACATAATTATAAAAATAGTGAAAAGAAATGGTGATTTTGTGGCCCTTCATCTAACAATCTGTTCAACCTCTGGGACATAAAAGTTCTATATGTATATAAAGTATTCTGTGTCCTTCACACACAGATGGATCACATGTGCAACCCTCCGCATCTTGTTCTTAAATATTTATATCTATTTTTCCCAATCAGACGTGTTCTCTTCTCTCAGTACCCTGTCTAAAAAACATGCAAGCGATTATCAGTCATGCTCACGGACAGCAGGAGTGTTACCAACCACTCTAATCGTCTCCAAACATCTGTTACACTTCAGGAACACCTCCAAACGCGCTTGAGTTTGGAGTGGACATGTGTTAGTGTGTTTTGATTTGCCCAGCAGGAGTGAACAACTGGGGCCTCTCAGTGTGTGTGTGTGTGTGTGTGTGTGTGTGCTTATACTGCAGAAAGGTTGCAATTATGGTTTTGCACCCCTGAAGCACATAATTGGATATCGTCATGGCAAGAGAATGTGACTGTTAAGATAACAGAAACAAAGTCTTCTCATTATGTTCAAAAGTTAATTTACTTTACTTTACTGTAGGTCAGCTGCTTCAGTTTAATTCAAATCTCTGCTGCCCCCCGCTGGACTGTAAAATATAATGCAAGACGTGGGAATTACTCTTACATTTCAGAAGGCTCTTGTCACAGGATTTGTCTTGTAATTAATGTAATAAATGATGCAAATAATATATTAAAGTGAATTACCCATTAATGTGAGTTGACTTTAATCATGTTAAATATATTCTTATTGGTTCCAGTGGCGTCTTTAGTCCTTAATATAACTTCACCCCAAGGTTCTGAATATCCAGCGGCATTATTGAGAGGGTGATATTGCTTTTAAGTTAATATAGATTAACGTACAACATTTCTGGTTAATTTTGAATATTTTTTACTACAATTGAAAATAATTTCATTGTAGTGCACTGAAATGACTTTCTATACAAGAAGCTGTACACCTATATAGTATAATAAAACATGACTTCATTCTGGTTGAATCATCCTTCAGTAGCTCTTTAGTATGCTTAATCGATCATATTCATGATAGTCACATGAAGCTGTTTTTGTCTAGTGTTAAGGAAACATTATTTCTGTTCTTTTGGTGACATTAATTAAATTAAACACTTGTTTTGGGTTACTACATTGTCAGTACAGACATGGACCATTTGAGTGATCCACATCTGTATTCTTGCACAGCTGTTTGTGTGTCTAAAGACAGACTCCCTGTGTTTGTCCGCAGGGATCTCAAAGCTGCTCCTTCAGTAGCTCTTTAGTATGCTTAATCGATCATATTCATGATACTGTCACATGAAGCTGTTTTTGTCTAGTGTTAAGGAAACGTTATTTCTGTTCTTTTGGTGACATTAATTAAATTAAACACTTGTTTTGGGTTACTACATTGTCAGTACAGACATGGACCATTTGAGTGATCCACATCTGTATTCTTGCACAGCTGTTTGTGTGTCTAAAGACAGACTCCCTGTGTTTGTCCGCAGGGATCTCAAAGCTGGAAACATCCTGCTGGGGGAGGACGGATCAGTGCAAATCGCAGGTACCAACTTTCTCTTTAATTGCACTTACTTTCTGCCTAACAGTGAAATATGCCCATTATAGTCCAGATAATGCAAAAAGCACATACTGCTGTGATATTTAAAGAGATCATTTTTTATATTTCTGGCTGAAGAGAGTGCTATTTTCTTGCCTGTCATTTAATTGTTTTTATTATTTAATTTGTTTCATTTTCTTCAAATTTTGTTTCATTTTTGGGTCGGTAAGATTTTAAAATATTTTTGAAAGAAGTCTCTTATGCTCACCAAGGCCACATTTATTTGAATAAAAATACAGTACACACAGTAATATTGTAAAATATTATTACAATTTAAAATATCTGTTTTAATATATTTTAAAATGTAATTTATTCCTGTGACGCAAAGCTGAATTTTCAACATCATTACTCCAGTCTTCAGTGTCACATCCTTAAGAAATCATTCTAATATGCTGATTTGATGAAAATCCTTTCTTATTTTAAAGAGATCATTTTTTATATTTCTGGCTGAAGAGAGTGCTATTTTCTTGCCTGTCATTTAATTGTTTTTATTATTTAATTGTCTTATTATTCTTCAAATTTTGTTTCATTTTTGGGTCGGTAAGATTTTAAAATATTTTTGAAAGAAGTCTCTTATGCTCACCAAGGCCACATTTATTTGAATAAAAATACAGTACACACAGTAATATTGTAAAATATTATTACAATTTAAAATAACTGTTTTCTGTTTTAATATATTTTAAAATGTAATTTATTCCTGTGACGCAAAGCTGAATTTTCAACATCATTACTCCAGTCTTCAGTGTCACATCCTTAAGAAATCATTCTAAGCCTTTGATTTGATGAAAATCCTTTCTTATTATTATCATTATTTAAAAAAAACAAACCGCTAAATTGCTCAGTATTTTTGTGGAAACCCTAATGCATGTTTTCAGGATTCTTTAATGAATAGAAAGTTAAAAAGTTTTAAAAAGATTAAGATTTTAAAAAAATGTAATCTTTATAACACTATAAATGTCTTTGTTGTGACTTTTGATCAATTTAATGCACCCTTACCAAATAAAAGTATTAATTTCTTTTATATGTAATAAAAACATACTGAGCTCAGACTTTTGAAAAGTAATTTATACATCTGAATACTGAAGCGTAACATTTCATGTCAAATGTTTGTAATGTTTTGCAGATCACAGTTTCCTTTTTTTTTAAACATACCATTGTTTAAATATACTCAAAGTGTCCTTTACATTCTGAAGGTTGACGTACTGAATTTTGTTATATTGCATACAATGACAATGAGATGAAAATCCTTTCTTATTATTATCATTATTTAAAAAAAACAACCCGCTAAATTGCTCAGTATTTTTGTGGAAACCCTAATGCATGTTTTCAGGATTCTTTAATGAATAGAAAGTTAAAAAGTTTTAAAAAGATTAAGATTTAAAAAAAATGTAATCTTTATAACACTATAAATGTCTTTGTTGTGACTTTTGATCAATTTAATGCACCCTTACCAAATAAAAGTATTAATTTCTTTTATATGTAATAAAAACATACTGAGCTCAGACTTTTGAAAAGTAATTTATACATCTGAATACTGAAGCGTAACATTTCATGTCAAATGTTTGTAATGTTTTGCAGATCACAGTTTCCTTTTTTTTTAAACATACCATTGTTTAAATATACTCAAAGTGTCCTTTACATTCTGAAGGTTGACGTACTGAATTTTGTTATATTGCATACAATGACAATGAAGTATGTTTCGTATTATATTGGACAGTGAAATTTCTTTCTTTTTTTAATCTTTAGATTTCGGTGTAAGTGCCTTCTTAGCCACTGGTGGTGACATCACTCGAAATAAAGTGCGGAAGACGTTTGTGGGAACGCCATGTTGGATGGCTCCAGAAGTGATGGAGCAGGTAAGTATTTCCGCCCAACAACTAGTACTCATTTAAAGCCATACAAATGAACAAACGCACACAAATTCTGATTCCAGTTAAGAAGATACAGTGGGCCAAAGGTCCTGAGATCGCATGGTATTAAATTGGAAAAGTGCCAAATAAAAGTATTTTCTCTCATATTCTCAAACTGTTGGATCTCACTGTATATGGACTGAATTACATGGACAATTAAAGCTCTTATTTCGTCCTTTTAAATTCGAAAGACTTCCATGTGGTGTGAAATTGCCAGTAACTGCTGGCATATGGATGCATCTCTCGTGTTAAACAAATCTGTGACTGTTTGTGTGCAGGTGAAAGGTTACGACTTCAAAGCAGACATCTGGAGTTTTGGGATCACAGCCATCGAGCTGGCCACAGGTGCCGCTCCTTACCACAAATACCCTCCTATGAAGGTGAGGAAAGAGCAGGAGATACAGTACAGTCCCATACGAGCTCTAATGAATCTCACAGCTGTTTTAAGACAGTCATGCATCCCTCTAATGAGAAACATGTTTTATAGCATGTTGGGTGTGTTTGTGTTTGCAGGTGTTGATGTTGACCCTGCAGAATGATCCGCCTTGCCTAGAGACTGGAATCACAGATAAAGAGATGTTGAAGAAATATGGGAAATCCTTGAGGAAAATGATCTCGTTGTGTTTGCAGAAGGAACCAGAGAAAAGGTGCTGAGTAGAGCCGCAATGATCTTGTTGGCTCATGTGAGAAAAGTACACTAATTTTCAAAAGTTTGGGGTCGATAAGATTTAAAAAAAAAAAAATATATATATATATATATATATATATTTTTTTTTTTTAAATGTCTCTCTTTCTTATGTTCATCAAAGCTGAATTTATTTGATCAAAGATTCAGTAAAACAGTAATATTGTGAAATATTGTTACAATTTAAAATAACAGTTTTAATATATTTTAATTTTTAATTTGTACCTGTCCTGCAAAGCTGAGTTTTCAGCATCATTACTCCAGTCTATATATTTTTGATAAACAGAAATTTCAAAAGAACAGCATTCATTTGTAATAGAAATCTTTTGTAACATTATAAATGTCTTAATTCAATGCGTCCTTGCTGAAAAAGTATACATTTCTTAAAAAAAAAAAATCTTTCTGACCCCAACATTTTGAACAGTAGAGTATGTCAAGTAGTGTTTAGCTGCTCATGTGATCCCACCATGGCAACCACACTTGACCTGCTCAGTATAGAATAATTGCTCAAATATTTTATTCAGCTGACATATGATTTTAACCATTTTCTAAAAGTACACATTTTTTGTGTAAAACGGAAAAAATATTTTTTTTCTCTAATGACTGTTATAGCTGATATTGCCTGAAAAAACAAAGTTACAGCAAATGTATTTCAATAGTGTTTGCTTTTTAGGCCAACATCATTAGAACTCTTAAAACATAAATTCTTCCAGAAAGCCAAGGTAAGAATCCTACCTCATCATTTATTCACCCTCGTTTTTTTTTTTTTGCAAATCTGTATAACTTTATTATGTGTAGATGTTTTTATACTACAAAAATTCATAATTGCCACTGTTATACTCAAAACCGGACAATAAAACTCAAAAAGTAATCCATATGTCTTCTCAATCCATACAGTAGCTTTCACACAATATTTGGATCCAAATGCAGAGGTGTAGCTTGAAAAGATCAGTGAATGCAAACTTAAGTTTCATGTTACACAGATACAATTTTAAATTGTATCGCCTTGGCACAGTTACATACCGAAATGGATTTGGCATATTTCCAAATATTACCCCATTTTTCCTCACATATAGAGATAGAAAGTTCCCTCTCCCAAACAAGTCTAGTATTTAAAACTACTTGTCCTTCAAATGTAACACTAAGAACCTCATATGTGACCCTGGACCACAAAACCAGTCTTAAGTGTCAATTTTACAAAATTGAGATGTATACATCATCTGAAAGCTGAATAAATAAGCTTTGCATTGATGTATGGTTTGTTAGGATAGGACAATATTTGGTCGAGATACAACTATTTGAAAATCTGGAATCTGAGGGTGCAAAAAAATCTAAATACTGAGAAAATCGCCTTTAAAGTTGTCCAAATAAAATTCTTAGCAATGCATATTACTAATCAAAAATTAAGTTTTGATATATTTACGGTAGGACATTTACAAAATATCTTTATGGAACATGATCTTTACTTAATGTACTAATTATTTTTGGCATAAAAGAAAAATCTGTAATTTTGACCCATACAATGTATTTTTGGTTATTGCTACAAATATACCCCAGCGACTTAAGACTGGTTTTGTGGTCCAGGGTCACGTATAACAAACTCACTGACTTCTTTACAGGTGTTTGAAAAAGTAGTTTTTCTATAGGAGACAGACTTCTATTAGTACATAACAAGGTATCTTTCAAAATATAGTTTCTAATCTTTAAAAAACGAAAAAAGTCCTGTTTTAATAATTGGTGTTTGCTGTCTCAGATCCTCAAAGGACTGTTACACAGATACATTTTAAGCTATACTTTTTATGGTGCTTTTATCTTAATCTTGACATTGTAAGAGTCGTGTAATGACTCTTCAGAAGTCTTTTGTATTTCACAAAATATAACAGCATATGGGTTTGAAATGACATGAGGGTGATTACATTTTCATTTCTGTATGAACTGTTTGTTTGTGTGTGTATATAAATACCCCTACATTCCCCCTTGTGTATGAATCCCAAATGAGTTCAGTGCCATGACTAGGCCGTCATGTCTGTGTCTAAACAAAATTAGGTATAAGCATACCAGCATCCCTCTTCAACTGGCTGATAAACTATTTGCCAAATGGAGTTCCCTGTCTGCAGTTTGAATCAGTGCCCAGTAGGGGGCTGGAGATGAATTTGAGGTGAAATTGTGGTCATTACCATAATTTAGAAACACATTAATCTTTCTATTCCATTTTGTTTGGCAGAATAATGAATTTCTGCAGGAGAAATTATTACACAGAGCACCTACAATTATAGAGAGAGCGAGAAAGGTGAGGAAAATGTAGTATAATATTTTATTAGGTATTATTTCTATTGTTTTATGATGTTGTAATTTTTTTATTGAGTTAAGCCTGGTTTTATTACCTTTATTGTGAGATGTTTATATAGTATTATTATATGCTTCTTATACTTAGCCAGTTTAAAATCACTTCAGGTACATTAAAGAATACACAATAAAAAAAAAAATCCAAGTTGTAAATAAAACAAATTATTAGAGTATGTATTAAAAGAAAATACTATTTCAGTCTTCCTACTTCTAAATTTTCTCATTTAATTCAATGTCTTACTTGGTTTTCTTTTAGTAATTATTTATGAAATTTACCAACAATTTCTAAGTGAAAATTGTTTCAAAGTAAATCCTACATAATTTTAAGTGTACTCCAAATCAATTTGGAGAAAAAAAATAACTAGGTAAATAAATAGATAAAAATCCAAAAACTAATTTAAAGTAGTTAGACTTATTTTGATTAACTCTTTTTATTCTACATGATGGATGAATAGAAAAATATAATAATAAATAGAAATATTAATTAATTAAAAAAATGTAATGTTTTATATACATATTTGTATAATGTACTGTATGTGTATATATTTGTGTGTAGGTTCGGCGAGTTCCTGGCTCCAGTGGGAGACTCCATAAAACAGAAGATGGAGAATGGGAATGGAGCGATGATGAACTGGATGAGGAGAGCGAGGAGGGCAAAGCTGCTGTTGCTGCCTTGCGGGTAACACACACACACACACACACACACACACACACACGCATAATTTCAGATCCTACTGAACACGTCATTTTGAGAGTTCCAGCAGCGGTTGTTTGCGCTCTTTGTTTGTGTGTGGTGTTTGTAATGCTGTTGGCTGTAATAGCACCTCTCATCCCTGGGCTCTGTGTTTTTGTTTGCCGCTAAAGGAGCAGCAGTCCAAGTCGACAAGGCGACAAGTCCGTTTCTCTCATCCTCTTGAGCTGCCCCCACCCAGGGTTGTTCAGTTTTCCCGCTGATACAGATGGCTCACCTTAACAAGGAAGCACACTCAGTCAAACACAACATTAGGGCATGCAGGAACTGGAAGTGCTAGATAATCAGAAAGAAAATTTGTTTAGAGAGTATATTGTTATTCAGCTTCAAAGACTAAAACAATAAAGATAATAGAGTTCAGGTTGGTTAAGGATGAACGTTGAACCTTCTCCTGTCTGTGATAATCTGTTTCTCTGCAGGTCTATGCAAGAAATAATCATGTACAGTATAAAATCATTTAGATCGCTTAATATGATAACCTTTGCTCAATATCCTCTGCTTATTATGAACCCATAGCTTATACATGCTACAGAATTACCTACTTACCTGGCTTTTTAAGCTTGACCACATACTTCTAATCTCAATGACTAAACTGTGGTAAAGCAAAAATAGTGTAACTAAACTATTCTTGCTAGGAAGAACAGAGAGACAGAATGTGTGCTTCCTGGATGCCATCTGTATTGTGTTTTTATTTTTAACTTTGACATACTGACCAAATCAATGCTCTCTGATAACCATCCAGATTCTGTTTAACAGCCTCATAATGAGACTTCTGTTAGTTTAGGCACTAACACGCAATATGGTCACTTCTGGTCACTATGATCTTTGTATTCCGGTATAAAAATCACTTTATATCTCTTCCATCCTTGCGGATTAAAAAAAATCGTACTGACCTTTAAACATTTGAAGTAGCAGTGTAAGTCTGAACACACCTCAGGTTAGATGGCAGTGTTTAATTTTGTCTGTTTGGTTAAGGGTTGTGGAACACCATTGGATGTATGTAGTTCATACTATTGAATAGAATATGTTCTAGGCAGATATTGTGTAATTTGGTTGCATATCTTAAAGGTAGGCCTGTCGCAATAATCAATATATCGACTTATCGCGCAATATATGTACATGACCTCAATAATTTTTGGTGGCGCAATATATCGCCCATTATATTTACTTAAATTAGTGTCACCATGTTTTCTACATTCCACTTGCACCTGTGTCTTTTGCAGCTTCTCGTACATAACGTGGTGTAGTCATGAGGTGCTAGTTCAAATTTAAAAAATGCTTCTACAAACAAAGTTTCATCTGCAGATATGGTCTTGTTTAGGGATCTGTGCCTTTGTGCATATGGACATCTGACTGCTGAGTAGTGATTGTATTTTTCAGAGAAAAGAAGGTCAGGGAAATATCTGTAGAAAAATGGCCATACAAGTTCTTTGTGTATTTTTTTCTTTTTTTCTACTTGTTACTTTGCACTTTTTGTTAGAAAATGTTTATTTACTATTTATTCAGGTTTTTTAAAAGGTATCTAATATTTAGATACTTAATTTCCATGATCTAAATATTCTTAAAAATTTAAAGTTTGTTGTCATTTGGAAGTGTGTAGTAGGCCTTCTTGCATTATTATGCTGTTACTTTATGATTATATTCAGTGGCATAAAATGGTCTTTAAAATGACAATAATATCGCTTATCGCAATTATTTCTGGGGCAATATACCGCACAACAAAAAGTTGTTATTGTGACAGGCCTACTTAAAGGGATAGTTCACCCAAAAATGAAAATTACCCCATGATAACCTCAAGCCATTCTTGGTGTATATGACTTTCTTCTTTCAGACAAATACACTCAGAGTTATATTAAGAAATGTCCTGGCTCTTCCAAGCTTTATAATGGCAGTGAATGGGGATTGAGATTTTGATCCATCATAAAAAGTGTTCCACATGACTCCGGGGGGGGATTATTATGCGCATTATGAATGTGCGCATGACAGTTAGCGAAAGCTAGAGATTATTAAACCATAATCTCTAGCTTTCGCTAACTGTCATGCGCACATTCACAACATTTTTCTTTACAAATCCTGTCGCGTACGACAGTTAGCGGAAGCTGGAGATTAGGGTTTATAAAGTTTTAAATATGGATATTTTTCTTACACAAATGCATCAATTCGCTTCAGAAGGCCTCTATTAACCCCCCGAAGCCTATAGAGCACTTTTTTGGGCTACAAAATCTCAACAGCTATTCACTGCCATTATAAAGCTTGGAAGAGCCAGGACATTTTTAATATAACTCCGATTGTATTCGTCTAAAAGAAGAAAGTCATATACACCTAGGATAGCTTGAGGCTGAGTAAATCATGAGGTTATTTTCATTTTTGGGTGAACTATCTCTTTAAAACAATGCCAGTAGTCCTTCAGTTCTTGAAGGATATTTTACTAAAACTATAAATACGTCACATCATAGCACAAGTGTAAAATAAAATACTCATGAAGGACCTTAACTCCCTGCTTCATTCCTTACTACAGTGTGTTCAAATCCAAAGCTGAATTACAGTAACCCACACCATTCTATATTATTACAAGAGACTTGAGTTTGACCTTTGACCTTTTATCTCTCACACACAGTCACCAAGAGTAAAAGAAGGACTCCAGGACACAGAGGTTTGTAAACCATGAGGAACCTTTCCAAATACCATACTAATGAACTATTCTTATGATTCCCGCTGTATGTACTATGTATTATATAATTATATATATAATTTTGAATGCATTATGCATGAAATACATAGACCTGTATTTGGCAAAATAAACAGGGCACTCTGTAGAATACTGTATCCTGCAATGCAGTGTCCATTGTAAAAAGTAATGAATTACACTGTTAAGTCTTAAGACTACAATTATTTGTAGTCTTAAAAAGACAAAATAACATTTTATTACTAAACAATAACTAAATGTGATTCAAATGTATGTATAGTATGTATACTATATTCTTTGAACATTTACTAATGTACCGTAATATGTCTGATTTATATATAAATCTGTGCATGTATTTGTAGATATTCCAGCCTTTCAGCAGTCACCTCCAGCCTGAACTACCTCAAGCTGCTGGCCAGGGCCCGGCCAACCCTCAACACACTGCCCCAAGTACAACCCCGGCTGCGAATCCTGCACAGGTAGAGCACCAGCAACAAATCGTACTTCACACGTTTTGACGTCTCTATTCCAATCAAAGCTGTTGTATCAAGCATGAAGTTATTATGTCAACTCAGTCTGTATAGGGAGTCTGATCCTCTGCTTCCATCCATAGGCCCCAGTTCCTGGCGATGCCTCACTATCCCCCATCAGTTTAGTATTAAGGTTAAGGTAAGATGTGTTTGGTTTTTTGTTTTGATTCATTAATTGACGTTGATCCAGTGTTGACAGGAGCAGTAGATGACTTACATTTCTCCTTCTGTCCTGTAGAAATTTGAAAAAGGAACTGAATGACATACGATTTGAGTTCATGCCTGGCAGAGGTAAGAGCGTAAAGACGTGGCTAATAGTCAACAATAAATCAAGCAATAAAAAGCCCACACAATACACTCTTGTCATCAGTTACTCACTCTCAGTCCCAGTACGCAGTCCCAGGTGTACTTTTTTCTTCTGTGAAACACAAACTGAGATTTTTAGAGAAATAATTATTTTCTGGCAGTGAATGGGTCCCTCAAAGATGACGCTTGAAAGAACATGCGAAACGAACGCTGGTGTAATCCGTGTCGCTTTTTTGGGTGGTGTATCCCTTTAATGCAGATGTTTTCCCAAAGTGTTCATGACTCTTTAGAAAACCACTCAATATTGTGGTTGAGAGTTGTCACATTTGTCAAAGGCGGTGAACATCTCAATCAGTTCGATTTACACACTTGGGCAGTTCTTTTGTCCAACGTGTTTTCCTTTAACAAATCAATTTATCATCAGTTTCTCTATATCTCAGCTCTCTCTGCCCTCCAGCAGAGGCTAAAGCAAAGCTAGAGTACATTGTTTTTCTACCATCAGATGTCAAAGAGCACCAGTTCTCTGCATCTGCATTTTGTCAGTGCCGTGTTGTGAATTTTCAAGACTCCCAAAATAAAACATTTAGTGTAATGCGCATTTCGCTGGCTCCAGGGGAGATGTCCATTTCTGATGGCCTGATGTAGTGCGTGAGAATGCTTTTCTGCCCGAACACGTCTCCTTCATTCTGCTCTCTGTACTCACTATAGTATGTTAGCATGTTGTGTGCAGCTGATCAGTTATTATGTTGTCAGCCTAATTCTGGAAGATCTACAAGCTTGTCAGTTCAATATGCAGGTTGTAATTTGCCAGACTTAAAGTTTGTTGGTCTAAGTGAGTCTTTTTTTTTTAAAGTGGGGTTAATGCATCACATTTTCTTTTTCTGTAGACACAGCAGATGGGGTTTCTCAGGAGCTGGTATCGGCTGGCTTGGTAGATGGGAGAGATTTAGTTATAGGTAAGATTGTTTTTTTTATTTAAGAAATGTAATACTTTTATTGAGCAAGAATGCATTAAATTGATCAAAAGTGATAATTATGGCATTTATAATGTTACAAAAGATTCTATTTCAAATAAATGCTTTTTTAAAATTTCTGTTCATCGAAGAATATTGATCCTAAAATACATGCATCACAGTTTACACCAAAATATTAAGCAGCACAACCATTTTCAGCATAGATAATGATCAAATGTTTCTTAAACACCAAATCAGCATATTAGATTTCTGAAGGATCATGTGACACTGAAGACTGGAGTAATGGCTGCTGAAAAATTAGCTTTGCATCACAAAAATAAATGGCATTTTAAGATAGATTACAATAGAAAATAGTTACATTTATTTATATATAGTTATTTTAAATTGTAATATTTCACAATATTACTGATTTTACTCCATATTTACAGAATTACAGTAATTATATATAACAGGAAATGTTAGCCTATAAGGATTTCTACTGAAAGTTAAATTGATGTGCAATATGTAAAGATAATAAATTGCAATGTCAAGATGAAATAATTCTTAACTTTAATATATCATGTTCCTAAACCTCTGTTTTGTGTCATTTCAGTGGCCGCTAATTTGCAGAAGATAGTCGAAGAGCCCCATGCCAATAAAAATGTCACATTTAAACTGGTGAGTGGTTAAAGCCACTGCGTGCTAGTCCTCACTGGTGTTTTGCAGTAACACGTCATGCGTGGTGTTTTTCAGGCCTCTGGCGTTGAGGGCTCTGAGATTCCTGACGATGTCAAACTCTTGGGATTTGCTCAGCTCAGCATTAGCTAAACTTTGGCTCTGTGCAGGACCGTGACTTGCCTACAAATGTGAAAGCAAACCAACACTACCGACCGAATGACACATTGATGTATTTTTTCTTCTTTCAATTGCCCTAAAGAAACCACTGTTGCCAAAGAGAAAGATACCATAGCGCCAGCCCATAGGATTTCAAACAGCCCAACGGAAGAGTTGCACAAACATGCGAATGATCAGAATTTGTAGGAGTCGATTAAAATTAAGTTTAGGATTTATTTGTATAAGGATGCAATTATCATAACCAGATATAACCTTAATATTCTTTTAATGTTTCTTTCTTTCTTTTTTTCCACATTTGCCCTTGTTTTGCACAATCTGAACTGACAACCTAAAAATGAACAATGCAAAAATGCCTCCAATATAACTACTGAGTGCATAAAAGAGGAGCGAAACTCAAAGAAACATGGAGTTTAGAGGAAGTAAATGGGTTTAGCTATAGTTATAGCTTTATTTTTTAACCTATATTTTTTCTATGCTTTTGAAGAGAAGCAGCTAAGCATGTTTTATCCCACAGCTTGCATTATTTACTTCAGTTTAAACCAGCTTGTTGAACATTTACAGCATCTGGTTTTAAAATTTCTACTTCTGGTTGTTGCACTCGTTTGCTTTCTCTGCTGTTATACTCGGAGCTTGATTTCTTCATTGTACACTGACTAGTATCAATACAAACAGAACAATTCTCAAATATTTCCAATTCTGCAGATTAGCCGAATAAGATGAAATGATTTATTCATTCAGTGTCATTGAGCCCTAATGAACACTCCTGAAGGCTGGTTTTACTGCTTTCCCAACCTTTTTTGCTGTCTCAACTTGGCACATTCGCAAATGTCACTATCCCATGCTGCTCTAAAAGTTATTGCCTTAATGTTTCTACACATTTCTGCATCACACACATCTCTCCTTTTTTAGATTTTGCATTCATTTGTGAATTTTGGTTTTAATTTTTTTGACATTATCTGTGACTTTTCATTTTTATAAGTCTCTCTGTATGTGAAAAGGTAGAAGTACCTGATGAAAGTCTGGTGTTTGGCTTTTTCCTGCTCTGGAATTGAACTCTTAAGTATTCATGTGTATTTCTGTTGTGGATCAACTCAATTGAGCATGTAAATAATGTAATTTTCCATTGGTTTGATTTTATATGGGATGCTTCACTCATGGCCTTTGTGTTCTTCATAAATAAGGTGATGGGAGGTGGTGTCAATTACAAAAGACACATTGTGAGTGTTGGTTTTTCTTTTTGTCTATGAGGGTGCCTATAATCACAGTGGGGTCTTATGTAGCATAAATCTGCCTGGTGTTTTCAGCAGGTCTGTTCTGACCTGCTGAAGTTCTCATTGAATTTACGAGAGGTTGTTTACTTCACCCTAGAAATCTCATTTAAACATCACTACCTTTGTGCAAAAACAGCCTGGAATAATCTTAAGCAACTTAATTATTTTAAAGCAGTGTTTCACCTAATTTTTTGTATTATTATTATTGTTATTATTATTATTATATTAATCCCCTTTGCCCTTTTTGACATTTTAATATTTTATATATATAATTATATAACATATATAATATATAAAAATAAATCATTTAAAACCTTTTTCAAACTTTATTTTCCAGTTTTATTGGGAAGATTCAAAAGCTTGATACACAAGTGTTTTCTTTTCACCTCTTTGCAACCACAACAAAGCTGTCTACTAAAATAAGAAAAAAAATTGCTTGCAGTGAAAAGGCGAGTTTTGCTTTGAATAAGGAATTTATTCTATGTAGATCAAAGGTCAACATTATTATATAGTTTATAATTAAATAATATCCAGTCTTAATAATAATGCATTTTATAAGTCCTTAATGTGGAGCAGTGTTGTACAAGGACAGACGCCTTCACAGTCAGTTTACTGTAAGAAATAAATAAAAATTAAAAGCAAAAACAGTATCAACATCAGTATATTTTTCTCTGTTTCCACTTAATTTTCTTTAGCTTGTGTTGAATTTTAAGGCATGTTTTTAAATGCTTTAAAATCAATAAAGCGTTCATTTAAAAGGTGCCTAATATGCCTCCTTACTGGTTAAAGTATATATTACTGTATTTGAATATTATTGAATATGACTTACATAAAAATCATGTTCATTTTGATTTACAGCATAGAAAAACAACTTAAAGGGATAGTTCAGCCAAAAACGAAGATTTTGTCATCATTTATTCACCCTCATGTCGTTCCAAACCTATGTGAGTTTGTTTCTTATGTTGAAAATATTTTGAAGAATGCTGGTAATCAATCAGTTGATGGTCCCCATTGACTTCCATAGTTACCCCCCACCACCGCCTACCATGGAAGTCAATGGAGACCAACAACTGTTTGGTTCTTCAAAATAGCTTATTTTTTGTTCTTCCAAACTTATACATGTTTGGAATCATTTTTAGGAAATGATTTTAAAAGGCACATTTTCACCTGGTTAACTGGAGTAACCCTAAGGAAAATACCATGGAAGTCGATGGTTAGGCTACCAGCATCTGTGGTTGCAAGCATTCTTCAAAATGTCGTCTTTTGTGTTCAGCAGAAGAAAGAAATGTATAAAGGTTTGGAACGACATGAGGGTGCGTAAATAATGTGTGAACTATCCCTTTAAATTCATATTTGTTTAAAAAAAAAAAGTTTTGCCTTTATTTAGCCTTTCCTCTTGTCACAATCTTACTTTTTCACTTGATAGTGTGGCCACTTTGTGACATATATACAGCGTTGTCTAAATATTGTGCTCGAACCCACAAGCATATCACAACAGTTTACATATTACCACAATATTAAGCCTCATGATCCAAAGTCCCTCACGCAAACACACATTCAACACACTGCTGGAATTCCTCTCAGTACATTTCAACCACTAGAATCAGCCTGTTAATCTACTATTAAATACCTTCTTATAGGATCATATTTTATTGCTATTAATTTAAAATCTTCTGGCTATCCTTATCGCTGTGAAAAAAACCAGTGCTTTATCTTTGTCGTAGCAGATAAGAGCGCTGTAGATATGCTGAGCTTGTGACACGTTTAAAAATTAATTTCGCGGCGCAGGTGTTTTAAGCGCGAGCCGCCGCTGACGGTCGCCCAGTGGTCATCATGATAGACTTCGCGCAGATCCTGTCGTCTGTCGGCGAGTTTGGGGCGTTTCAGAAGCGCTTGCTGGTGGCGGTATGTCTCCCCAACATCTTCACAGCTTTCCACATGTTCGGTCAGGTCTTCACCGCCATCAGCTTCCCTCACAACTGCAACAGCAGCTGGATTTTACAGCGGGCTCCCAACCTGACAGAGGAGAAGCAGCTGAACCTCACCATCCCTCTGGACACTGAAGGACAGTACGACAGCTGTAAGATGTTCTCACCTGTTGATCTTGAGCTTGATGCTATTGAAGCTTATGGAATAAACACAACGACATCATGTTCTGATGGATGGGTTTATAAGGCACCAGAAGGCAGCAGCACTCTTATAACTGAGGTAAGTTAGGTCAACTTTTTAAAATAAAGCAGCCTATCACTACATGGTTATAAGAGTTTTAGTTTAGTTTTTCTTAAATGTATAAAGCTATGCCTTTTCATATAAATCAGGTAAACACTAATTGTTACACTTTCAATGTTATGTTTTTATGATACCCTACACGTGATATAAAATGTTGATTTTATATGATTAAAAGTAAAACAATATTTGACTTTCAAAAAAATGACTTTCAAAGGAGTCAACCTTTAAATTAACATTAGCTAAGTAACAATTTCTAGCTATTTCAGTAGTCTTTTGGCGCCTCTAGCTCGTGTGCAGTTTGCTGAATATCAGCTAACTTACATTACAAAGACTTCAAATATGTGTTATGTTCACACCTGTAAAAGTGTACTTGTTTTATTTACAATAGCTAGACAGCGATCAAGTAGCTGTTGCCATGGTTACCTCCTCAGTTCGCGAGTGTATTTTGCGAACTTGTAATCTAACTTTTGTGATTAAGACCACGTTTGAAAGAGCTTTTGACATAAACACTATTTTTGCAATACCTGCTCAAATAGGCTACCTAATTTACCTGTGAACCGAATTTTGACTTCTCGTAACGCAAATAAGTTTATTTTTATGTTTTCATCTATGGCCATCACATTGTTCGCATGAAACCAAACGCTATATAGGCCTAATGCATAACGTTTATCATGATAATAGTGGTTTGTCACTGTGTGCTTTTTCCCCTTGACAATAATGATTGAAATTGAAATGTTAAAAAGTTCAAGGTCTAGGACTTTACTGTGTACGTTTTTACAGAAATTGACTTTGAAAAGTCATAACTTAATATTGTAAGTTATGAAAGTTAATATGAACTTTACGTCTCCCTACATATCATTTTAATTTACATCATTTGTTGTTGTTTTTATCATGCTTTCTTTTCCTATCTTATCATAGTTTGACCTGGTGTGTGAAAATAAGATATATAATGAGGCATCTCAGTCCGTCTACATGGCTGGTCTTCTTATTGGAGCCCTATTGTTTGGGCCAATGGCAGACAAGTATGTGTAGAGTACAATCCCTGATCAACATAAGAATGAAATTTTACATACTATGATTATTTTGGAGTTTTTCCAAAAATCAGATTATTCAGTTTGTTTTTTAAAACCCATCAAGGGCTATTTTTTTATGTTAGTGTTTTAATAACTGTACTGGTTAACATGTTTTCTTGCCACAGGTATGGCCGGCGGTTTGTCACGCTGCTTTCCTTGTTCCTGCAGTTTCTGTTTGGGGTGGCAGTAGCATTTTCTCCCAACATCTTTGTCTACATAGCTCTCCGCTTTGTGGTCGGCACCACAATATCAGGGATTTCTATCAACACATTTGTTTTGGGTAGCACGTGACTCCTCCTAATGCCAGTACATTTAAAAGTCTGACATTTTGCTTAGCTATTTAGACTGCATGTAGAAAGAGAATTTATGCTTTAAACAAATTCCCTGTAACACACCTGTTTTGGATCTCAGCAGATGAATTTCATGGTATCTCAAACGTGTTTTAGGTACTGAGTGGTGTGGTTCAGCCAAACGGGCCCTTTTTACCATATTGTCACACTGCTTTTATGCCATTGGTCTGATGTTGCTGTCTGGTGTGTCCTTTGGGATCCGAAACTGGAGGATTTTACAGTTGGTTCTGTCAGCACCAGTTGGGCTTTTCTGCATCTATTACTGGTGAGAGTTATTCTGTACCAGTGATTCCCAAACCTTTGATTTGCATGTTCATGGTTTTCTGATGTCGGTTAATGGTCACATGACATACATACATACATTTGTCATTTTATTTTATTGCTTTTATTTTTATTATTATTGTTTTAGAAATTTTTATGAGGTGTTTTCTTTTCTAATAATTGTCTATGTATTTGGCAGGATTCTCCCTGAATCTGCCCGATGGCTTCTGACTCAGGGCAAGCAAGACAGGGCCAAGAAAGAGATATTGAACGCTGCCCGAATTAATGGCAGAAAGGTGCCCGAAACTCTGCTCAACAAGGTGATCTTTTTCTCTTTGCCAAGCTTTATTTGGTCTAAGAGAAGAATTAAAGGCATAGCTTACCCAGAAATGAAAATTTGCTGAAAACTTACTTAGCCTCAGGCTCTTAGCATCACTTACTCACCAATTGATCCTCTGCAGTGAATGGGTGCCATCAGAATCTCATATTTTAGCTGAAAGCAACAATTTGAAGTTAAAAACTTCTTAATGATGGATTTTGTCTTACAAACAAAACGCATCTTTTTTTATTTTCAAGACATTCATTGATGGACTGGAGTGGTGTGGATTATTGTGATGTCTTTATCAGCTGTTTGGACTCTCATTCTGATGGCACCCATTCACTGCAGAGGATCGATTGGTGAGCAAGTGATGTAATGCTAACTTGCTCCAAATCTGTTCCAAGGAAGAACTAAACTTATCTAAATCTTGGATGGCCTGAGAGTGATAATTTATTAAATTTTTTTGGTGCAAATGTTCCTTTTTGGGTGAAAAACTGTAAATGATCAAATTCATTCTAAAACATATAGTTGAATCAAAAGTAATAAAAAAAAAAATGATCAGTTAACATGAAAGGATGCCTTATCAGATGGAAGCGGAAAACACAGCTAAAACAGGCACCATGCTAGACCTGTTTCGAGTGGCTTACCTAAGAAAGAGAGCTCTCATCATGTGTTATATGTGGTGAGTTATCCTAGCATTTCCCATATCTATTATCCAAAATGTGATAAGATGCCATACCTTTGATGCTTTATCCAAGTTTACCATTCAGGAGCTTGTATGTGGCTAAACCTCTGTAAAGTCCCCCAGTTTTTGATATTAAATACAATATAATATGTGAAATACAACAGCATAAAATGTTAATAATAAAGCATTATCATTGATTTTGGAACCAAATCAAGCTGTGAAAACTTAATTTTTTTGGTGCAAATGTTCCT